CACATGAAAGCGCAGCAGCACTCCATGGCAACTCACACCTCCGTTAAAGCAGATGAGACGGCAGTCACGTGACCGTGGCCTTTTTTTATTCCCTCAGCACATCAAGTGAAGAGACATAACCATGTCAAGATTTCATGAGGCATTGGGGTAGTTTAGCTACAAATGAAAATACTGTCATTTACTCACCTTCATGTCAATCCAAACCTGTATGACTATTTCTTATGAGGAACACAAAATATATTGAGAAAAGTTTGTCCAAACAATGAAAGTCAATGGTCACCAAACTTTAGGTTAACAACATTCTTAAAATTATCTTCTATTGTGTTCCACAGTCAAAAAACAAAAAAAAACAGAGTTTTGAAACGATATGAGGGTGATTCAATGAATTAAATTTTCATTTTTTGGTGAACTGTCCCTTTAAGTTTATGAGCAGACTAGATCAGTGCGCTCATGTAATAAAACAGAATTTGTAATCATGGTGCATCATTATGCTCAGCCAAAAATAAAAAAAAACAGCCACACTGCTCAACAACACCAATTAAGTCTGACTAGATACGATCCACCTGAACTTCTTTTTTTTTTTCCACACATCCTTGCTTGTGTTTCTCTATACAAGTCCACAGAGAGTATCTTGGGAAATCTGAATAAAAGGCACTGATTATTTTCTGCACTGATTTTGGGGAAACAATTTACAATAAGCTTAACATTAGTTAACTACACAAGTTAACATTAACTACCAAAGAAAATAATTCTACCTTTATTAATCTTAATGTTAATTAAAAATGTACTAATGCATACATTAATTAAGTTGTATATTTTAATAGTAGGCCTATTTAATGGACCTGAGTTAACATGACCTAACAATCAACAGTTTACACTAAAAAAAAAGAACAAACACTAACAAATGTATTGCTCATTGTTAGATAATGGATTAACTAATGAGATCCTATTGTAAATGTTACCATTTTTTGTTGAATATCCAGAATACCGACTTAAATATGCTAAAATGTGTTAAATGACATGTAAAAGCAAGTTCACACCAAGAACTACAACTACAAAGTTATAATGATTGCTCTAATTCTGTAAGAATAGAAGTCCACAGCACAACTGTACCAAAATCACAGTGGAACAATATTGTTGGAATCACTTTCAGAATGTTTTTTTTTCAACTGATGAACAATAGAAATACTGGCAGCTAGTCAGAATCAACCAGACTTTAAAGATTGAGCCGTTAAAGAGAAATATGACATTACTGCAGCACGCTTATAATAAAGAGAATGTTATCATCAATCGGTGTGAATGCTAATTTAGTTACAGTTATCATACTTAGTGTGAAGGGCAATCAAATCTGAGCTGACAGTAGTGCACTTTTATTTGTAGCTACAACGTAAATATATAAATATATGTAATAAACAACAGGCGTTCCAATTAGCAGAAAAGGCAAAGATACCTGGAGAGCTTTGTGCATGCCGCTTGCGACCAAACTACAAGCTTCTGTATTGTAAGTATGCATTTCCTTTAGTCGAAATTCTTAACTAAAAGAGCTGATTTCAGCAGAAGACTTCCCAGTATTGTAAGGCCTTTACTTAGTTTACTTCTAAGAAGAGCTGTTAATTGAGCAACAGATTCCATCATATTCTGTCATAGAAGCTGAATGCAACTGAAATTCTAGAAAACTTGCCTTTAGTGAACACCCAGAGGAGTCCAGAGAATTCAAAGGGAGTTTGCAGTGAATGCTGCAACCCTTTTAACCGAGACTCTTTAATCGAAGCCACACAGCAGATCTGCTCTTATTTTAGCTGAGTGCCATTAAGAAGCGGCTGGCCTGAAAAAATATTCCGTTCAAAGAGCTACTCATCAGATGACCCGGTTCCTTTCTCTCATCTCCCAACCCCGGTCATGCCTTTTGTATGCTCTCTTTGTGTCTTGTCAAAACATTAAGGCCATTCAGCAAGTCTCAGAGAGCCATACGGGAGACTAGAACCTCGAACGCCTTCACAGTTCATAGTAAAGGCCACGGTGTAAAACATCAGAGCACGCTACACCCTTCCGAGAGGGATGCCGAATCCCGGGATCTCGGAGGTGGAAATGGATGTTATGGAAAGGGTGTGAGAGGACGAAAGAGCTTACACACTATCCTCTGTATTTCTGGCTCTTTTCCTCTCCCTCCCCTCCAATTTTATCAAACACTTTCCACTGTATCACAGAGTGACCCACAAAATTCAGAACGACCTCAGAAACCAAATGTAGTTAACCCAGACTGGGTCGCTTAAGTCACCTTTATTTCTATAGCCTAGAGCTTTATACAACAACACAGATCGTTTCAAAGCAGCTTTACAGATACAGACAAGAAAACAGTGATTCAATGATGCAAACAAAATTCTAAAAGCTTTAAAAACACAACAGTAACCAGTCATTACCCTAGTGAAAAATATACTTATATGTATTTGAAATACATTAAAGTCTGCTAAATTGGAACAACTAATTTTGTACTTAATGTGCTTTAATTGTGCAGCTAAAGATATCCTGAAGTATATTTGATTGTGCTAAAGTGGAACTATTGCAAGTACACTTTTGGTACTACCTTGCATTTAAAGTCCGATATTATTCGAAGATCATACAGTCCTCAACAATAGTGACATTAAAGCACGTTTTAGGCTTGAAATGTGCAGAAGTAGTAGAGCCTACTCCAAATAATTTCATTATAATCTTTATATCAGTAAGTCTCGAGCGATACGTCAGTAAATTTGAACTATACGTAGTATGAAATAAATGTATAAATGGTATTCTTTAACTTTACAACAGGTGACAAAACTATTAAAACATGATGTGCAATGCTTAGGGAAATGTTTTAAGCTTGCAATCTGACCCCAGTCTGTTCTGTTCTCTAGAGAAACCTCCTTCCTTCTTCCAAGTAAAACTTTTATTGACAACAGATATTACATAAACACATGGAGCAATAGATGGCATTACAAACCCTGTAAGTTACATAACATTACAGATGATGCTGAAACTTCACCAGCAAGACCCTAGACTTCAGCAGCAGCCCCAGTCTTGTATATTTACTGCTGTGTGATTATGAAAACAGAGAGAAGTCTTTAGTACAGCCATGCGTTCATATCACATTCATATCCCCTCAGGTGGCAGAGATGGGTAAAAAGAGCTGTTATTATCATTACAGTGGATGTTGAACTAATGAGAAAGAAAGTTCACGAAGAGTTTGAGAAAAGAAAGCATGCTTGGTGCTAACATGTGCTTCCGCGCGTAAATCTGCACAAAGTAAATCACCAAATTCTGACTCACAACGGCTAATATTTCCAGAAAAGTCCTATTAAAGAGCGAAAACTCTGTGCGGGTATTGACTGAGCGTCGATTGTTAGCAAGCTAAGCTTAGCTAACGTGCAGGCTAACCGCTATCAGATGCTCCTGCTGCCTTTCATGACACGGACATAAGAATAAACACTTCAGAATATAAACGACAATATAGCGGACAATCGGGTAAACATATATAACCATATACATACAGTAGCGGGTGTGCTTGCTAATACTGTTAGCCTAAGCTAAACCTCCCGTCGCTAACCGGCTAAACTAGCGAAAAACAATAATAGTAATCGAATGCATTTAAAGGGCAACGACAGCGTTTCGATCCACTGTGGAGTCCAAAGAAGAGAAACCGGGTTTGTTTATAAGATCTGAAGTTTACGTCAAATGAAAATGAAAGAAAAACAGATGCTCAAGCTTGTTTTTGTATTGACGTTAGGTTTGTTTAACGCAGCTACAGGACTCTGTTGTATTTGATGTGTCCTTTATCTCGGAAATGGGTTCAAACAGTTTAACAACAACAAGAGTTTCGGATTCTCTCATCAATGAAACACTGCAGGTTTAAATGATGCTACACACAGAACACACGCATATCGTAAGCAGCGATATATTAAATATTATATAAACACGAGAAAAGGCCATGCAGTCAGCGTCATATGTCTAAAACCTGCATGAGGTTGTGTGGTGAAGCCGATCACATGGCCAGTTACTCCCACAAAATCAACCTTGCATGAATCAAGTAAGCATTCTCTTCAAAACAAGACGCTTTTATCAGAAAAACGCACGTATTTACCTGGTAAACTGGTGGAGGGGCGAAGGAAAGTGAAGCTCCTGTGTGCACAGGGACTGATGTTTCCCCCGGGTCTCCTCTCCAGGTCTCTCCTCTCCGAAAAGAAAATTAAACGATCCTTGATGAAGTTTTAGAAGCGCAAACTAAACATGTTCCTCCGCTGAAATGCAGCAGGAGCGTTACGCGCACTCTTCTTAACCGCCGCGCCGGGGAGAGCTTTCATTAAACATTTATCTTCTGCAAAGACTAAAATCCCCCTGGAATAATATGTGACCGACTTGAAGAACGCTGGGGATACGGTACACGACTCCGATGCTTCTCCGTTAAAGCGCGATCGCCTTTATCCAACCGATTCCTGTACGACTGCCTGTCGACGGATGATGGCGTCACTGCGTCAGCCAAGAACGTCACCGTCGCTCGCGTTCTGTGTCGCTTACATATGACGTAATTACGTTGCCATGCCCGCGGACTCATATACACAAAAATACTTTGTTTTATATGTAAAAAAGTAAGGTTTTATTCTTTATTATGTTTTAATTTTAATTTAATTATAAATATATTTTTTACATTTAATTCAGTTTGGTATGTTCAACAAAGGTTGCTATCTTCACTATAAAGGCGTGGGAGTCATCATGTAAAATATTTAACATTTTAATATTTCATAGTGTTCCGTCGTTTCAATGCTTCACTGTTAATCTATCAGAAACTGACTGAAGTGCCAAAGATTGTGTTTCTCTGAAGCACAGACGGTGCCAGTGGTGCCAACCAAATTTCAAAGGAATTTCATCATTTTATTTTATTTTATTTTATTTTATTTTATTTTATTTTATTTTATTTTATTTTATTTTATTTTATTTTATTTTATTTTATTTTATTTTATTTTATTTTATTTTATTTTATTTTATTTTATTTTATTTTATTTTATTTTATTTTATTTTATTTTATTTTATTTTATTTTATTTTATTTTATTTTATTTTATTTTATATTTGGGTCTAACACAATCTTAAATAATTAAATCTAATCCCTTTTTTTTATTATTACTTGCGTTACGGCCCTTTCTTAATTTGTTAATTATTTCTTACTTTCATGGGAGAAAAATGAACTGAATTAAAAGCTCCAACATTCTGTTAGTTATCTACATTTCAGATTTCTAGTGTTTAGACAGCGAAGCCATGAAATGAACCACGGCTGAGTGTGGCCCTCTGAGCAGAACTCATCTATAGCCTATAATACAGTATATAATATCTCTGTTATGGATCAGTGGTGGACAGCATCATCTGCAAGATAAACGAGCTCCTAAACTAAATTAATGTGTGAGAAAATAGTATGAAAATTACAACAATTTCCCAGTTGCTTAATTTATTTCTGTATTTATTTATTTATTTTATTAATAATGTTTTTTTTTTTTATACCTCTTGTAACTTTATTTCTTTCTTTATTAACATCATCCTTTTTTGTCAGTAACACTTCATTATTTAAAAATAATTTCATGATTATTTAATGTATAATTATTCATAATTATTTCATGAATGAATTAATGAATTAATGTCATTTTTTAATTATTCATAATTATTTCATTAAAAAAATGAATTATATTTTTATTATTAATTTATATTGTTTATTTTATGTACTGTTATGTTTATGTTGTTTTGCACATTTTTCAAAAGAGAATCTGTCAGATATAAATATACTTTACAAAGCTCAATAGTAAAAGCAATACATAGTAGGCCTATGTAGTAGTAAGTAAATATTGATATTGGGATATTGTACTAAACAGAATGCACACATAAGTTTCCGAAAGCCCTACAATCTGAAATATAAGTTAAACTGTTCTAGATAGATAATAACAATCTGTAATATGTAATCATTAATGCATGAGTACTAACAAATCATTCCAGACTCAACATATTACCCTGATCAACAGCGATCTAAAGCCAAACATCGGTTCTGCTGCTCTCGCAAGCCGTGTTTAGTTCCAAGCCTCACTCAAAGGTAAACAGTGCTTTCATCAGATTCCATTAGAAAATGCTCTCAGCAGAAACTGTGTAACGCAGGAGGAAGCCAAAAGAAGGCTCACTTTATTGAATTACTCAGTTATTGGTGCAGCATGAAACAAACAGGTCTTCACTTTCAATAAATAGCCCTATGTTCATATCATATTAGCTGATTAGGTGATATTATATTGTGTCTAGCTGTATAAGGTGTTAATGTATTTGATGTGGTCTACTGAAATATGGCACACATATTTTTTCTCTTTAAGGATGCAAGGTATGCCATATACTACCTTACTTCCTTGCATATAAACTCATTTTTTATATTTATTTATATATTTTATTTTATTGCAATTATTTATTCATTGTGTGTGTGTGGGGGGGGGGGGATTAAATTAATCAAATTGATCAAAGGGATTATAATTAAATTGATCAAAAGTGACAGTCGAGATTTTTACATTGTTACAAAAAAAAACTATTTCAAATAAATGCTGTTCTTTCTGTTCGGCAAAGAATCCTGAAAAATGTATCACAGTTTGCACAAAAATATTAAGCACCACAACTGTTTTCATCTGTCATAAAAATAAGAAAATCACCTAATCAGAATGATTTCTGAAGGATCGTGTGACACTGTAATGCCTGATAAAAAAACAGCTTTGATCACAGCAATAAATTACATTTTAAAAATGTTTACATAAAAAAACAGTTATTTTAAATTGTAATAATATTTCACAATATTAATGAGCTTACTGTATTTTTTTAATCAAATAAATGCAGCTTTGGTGAGCACGAGAGACTTCTTTTAAAAACATTGATAGTGTACAAGTAATGACAACAGCAGACATGCACTCACACGAGAACAATGATAACAATAGTTCCTCTTTTAATGTAAAAAGAGAATACAGTACGTAGCAGGAAATGCAAGAATTATGAAGTGATTTAAATTTCATTATAACTTGTAAACACAAACTTGCAATACTGCAAATAAAAGAAAAATACAGCTAATATTTACAAAGGTTAATGTCTTTATAATTTAAATGGAATGATGAAATGCATCTTAATATTTCGGTGGCAGCCCTTGCATTTAGATAAGAACAAGAACCATTATTACATTATAAAGAAACAACATTGTTTATCATTTAGTTGTACTCCGTCAAAAAGTGTTGAAAATATCTTTAATATCAAAAGCACACAGAAGAGCATATCGGCTTCCAGTAGAACTGTTGAATCCTGATCAGTGCAACAGACTTCAGAACAGAATTCATCTGCTTATCTGCCTTTTTTTTCATCCAAACGGCAGTGCTCTTTACACAGCAGTGTTTAATATTTTACAAATATCTTTTTAATTTAAAGCTATGGTATTATGAAACAATCTAAAAGCACTGGCAAAGTTTTCATGTTTTACATGTACCTAAAAATAGTGCACTGGATCAGCTCCACAGCCGCAGCTACCTGTAAAACAAATGAGGGAAAAACAGATTCATTCAAATATGTGCCAAAAACTATGATGCACTCATGTACTCTTTTTTTTTTAAATCAGTAAAATATCCTCATGAATTTAGTAAATGTAAGTAAACATTGCCTAGATTCAACAGAAACCCCTATAAATTCCAACATAACAGAACATTAAACAGCAACAGATCTTCTTCTATATTAATTATGTGCAAAAACCCACAAAATAACACTTCATTTCAACATTTATTCTCCTTCTATACGGTCTGACGCAAAGCATGCTGAGAACTAGAAATCTGCTGCAACTCACATTTCGAGTTCGCGTAGCTTTTTCTGTTACGTACGATGAATTTCAGATACATTTCAGTGAAACAAACTCATTTTATTAAATTAATTTAAACTGTTTGGTTTTACAGTGAACATACTCGATCTCTAAAACTGCTGTTAGAGATGAAGAATATTGATATGAAATGAGTTATAGTTGTAGTTCTTGAAACTGGTCAGCATAATTCCTCCATTCAGAAATATTTTTATTGATATGAAATGAGTAATAACTGTAGCTCTTAAAACGGATGAGTATGATTTCTCCATTCTGAAATATTTTTATTGCAATTTAACAAAAATATTAAATGTATTTAAAAAATAATGTCAAATACCTTATTTTTTTATTTCTGTAAATTTTTGACTAAATTAACTGTTGGATTTTAAGGAATTTATTTTGGTATGTCCAACTCAAACAATCATTTAAGTGATATTCAGAGATTTTATTAAGGTAGCATGGTTATTTATTATTGTGCTATTTAGGAATTATTTTTTAGAGTGTGCACTGACAAGCTGCTGTAGACATTTGTGGACTAATCTATAGACCTTTGTGCATTTGTATGTTATATGGAGTCTTCAACAGTGCTGTTATATTCCATAGAATTTCTGTTTCCAGATCAGATTCGTCAGCATAAAAAGAGCCGTGTACTCCTGTGCTGATGTGGCCTCAGATACTCTCCGTTTATGTTTATATCAACATTAATTTGTCATTGACATCACCTAGCCTTTGTGTAGCCTGTAACTTGTATAGCGCTCGATCCTGGGAAAAACACGGTCTGCGTGACGTAAGCTTGCATTCCTGGCTCATGGACTCTGACCCTCTGCTGTTCCCAGGGAGAGCGAGACAGAGAGCACGCAAGAGGCCCTCCTCATCCCCAGCTTCCACACATGCCTGCTGTAATGACTACCAGATGTCACCGCTGGTAGCGCCGACCCGCGGGTCAGAAGTCAGCAGCCACAGCTACTCTGTTCCTCGTACGCAGCCTCCTCAAAACAAACTCGACAGAATGACACGGTCTGTGTTTGTGTCTGCATTAGTAAGCAAGTGCATGTGGTTGGGTGTTTGTGGAAGAGCCGTGCTGATGATGTGGAGGTCAACAGACAATACTGCTGTTTATTATTCTGTTAGAGGTCCACTTCAAATCTATTTGACAATCTAGGCACTTGACAAGAGTCCATGCATTACTAAAAGTGTGTTCGTGTTATTCATGTCTTGACTTTTCATAGTGTTTTTGGATTAGCCAAAAAACTAGTTTTTTTTTTGGGTCAAAATGTATAAGGGATGAACCTGGCTTAATGTGATTTAATTATATACACACTACCAAAGTTTTTTTTGTTTG